ACACACACACACACACACACACACACACACACACACACACACACACATATATATATATATATATATATATATATATATGAAGAAATATAGTCTTGTTTGCCATATTTATGGGATAAAGTGTTCAATATCAGAAATAGAGCGTGTGTAAATATAAAAGTGAACATTGAAGTCAACACTTAGAGGCGAAAGTCTGTTTCATGCTAGACGCAATTGTCAGCCCTGATTTTGCGTCTAGCATGAAACTGCTTGCCGCCTCTAAGTGTTGACATCATTATTCACTTTTTATATATATATATATATATATATATATATATATATATATATATATATATATATATATGGGGTGTGTGTGTTTGTGTATCTGCGTGTGTTTGTAAAAAAGCATATATGTGTGTAAAAATATCAGATAGAGCATATCTGAAAGGACAATATGAATGAAGACAAAAGAAAATCTTATCGTAGCATACGCGTTTCGTCCGCTGATAAATTTTATGAAGCCAATTGTCTTGATAAAGTCCCTCAGAAGGCGAAACATGTCGGCTAAGATAAATTTTCCTTTTTATATATATATATATATATATATATATATATATATATATATATATATATATAGATATTCTTTGAAACTTGTAAACAATATATAATATATATGTATAACACCAATGGCTTGGATCTTAAATTTTTCTATAACTGTACCAATTTAAATTCTCTCCGACACACAGTCGCAAATGTCTGCATCACTTCTGAGCGTTGATTCTGGTTGGTTGGGTCGCTAATTCTTCGATCCAGTTCATCGTCGATTCTACACACGTCTATCCGTCTTTTCCAGCCCATTTTCTGTTTTTTTTAGATAATGTAAAAGATGTATCCGATGAGGTCTGCCAGGTTTCTAGGACAAGATGAAATCGACCGTACTAGTCGGATTATAAGAGCATTATAAATAACTTCTGCCAAAACAGAAGTCAACGTTATTCTTATAGACAATAACAACTTGGTCTAATTCGATGTCAGCAATATTTAATACTGTCGATGCTGCGAGTTTAAACATTAGCTAAACAATGTGTGGCCACTTGTTCAGGTATTTATTTTATTTGTATTTAATTGAGTTCACCCCAAGCAAGGCAATAAAGCCACTGAGATGGGTGTGGAATAGTTAGAAACAGAAAATAGAAAACATTGCTAAGGAGCGAGAACAGAGGAAGAATAATCAGGTTTGGGTTGGTTTGTTTTACGGTATATCAACCTCAATGGCTTATTTAATGCCGACAATTTTTTTCCTGGTAATATTTTGTTTTGTCAAAAATCTATTTCTGGTAAAATTTCTTCCACAAAATTATATAGCTAGTAATATTATTTGCTGGTAATATTTTTTTTCAAAAACATATTGCTAATAATAGATTTTTTCTTCAAAAATTTTATTTCTGGTAATAATTTTTTACAATGTATTTCAGGTATTAAAACCTATTTTTACACTTTAATAATGCTTTTTAGCTCAATTTCGGAGTTAACTATTTGCCCGTATTTGGGACCCTAACAGGTGCTACCACCCCGGGTCAGGGTGGACCTGGGAACACCAACAATTAAGAGGTGGTTCCACGCTCCTCAAAACCTCCTGATCAGAGGCCTTGCTTTATTGTCTTACCCAGGATGCGGATGTAGTTTATTCTCATACCCACGACGCGGATGTAGTTTATCGTCATATACAGGACGGAAGAGTAATCAGGAGGACAGAAGACAGCGATTGATACTGCATTTAAATTTTTGCTGATTAAAGTTGGCTGGAAACCTTAGAGCCGGGAGGGAGTTCCACAAGCCAGACAAATGTATGTGGTAAAGTAATTATTGCCAGGGACTCCTACAATTCGGGAAAGTCTCGTTTCTGGCGATTTCGTTTAACGTCTGTACTTACTGCATCTTCCTGGTGACATTTCCTGGCAATTCTTACGACGACTGTGTGCGACTGGACCCGACTTGGCGGCGACTAGCTCCAACTTGGCGGCGACTGACCCTATCTTGGTAGCGACTGACTCAGTCTCACGACGACTCTCCGAATTGGTTAGCGACTGCTGTGCTCCTAAACAAATAGAGATTTTTACCAGATTCCTTGCTCAGAACGGTTTCATCCCTGACTGGTCAAGTCCGACCATGTCAATCCCCGGAAGAGGTCTTAATTTGTAACTGGGACCTGCCAATTTTGGTACCCGCAGTGTGTCGCGTAATTGTGATGACAACTTTAATGTATTATCTATCTATCTATCTATCTATCTATCTATCTATCTATCTACTCAACAGAATGCAGAAAGCATTGGAAGGCCGTTTCGTCCAATTTTAGTTTTATCATCAGTGCGCATCCAATACCGAGAATTGAAACCGTTACAGTTACGTTATCAGGCAAATACAATACCAACTGTATCAACGGGCCTCAGTGACCAAGAGGTAGCGAATTAGACTGGATATATCGCCAATATATATATATATATATATATCAACTAACATCAGTGGTATACTGTATTTAGTGTCGGAACAAGATTTTTAAAATTTAATATTAAAAAAAAAAACGGATGAAAAAAATTGATAAATAGCCAACCCATACAGACACCACAAACTGTCCGAGTGGTGGCAAGCGGAGGGTGGATGTTGTCTGACTTAAATGGAAAGAAGCTACATAAATTCAACCCAGATATTAACCATAACACCCCAAGTTATAATTATAAGAAAGACGAAGTGATGCTAAAAGAAAGAAAAAGTTTCATGAGTTATTTAGGTTTTAATATTATTATGATCCACGTGGAATATATATACAAACGGATTTATTACACACACACACACACACACACACACACACACACACACACACACACACACACACACACACACACACACACACATATATATATATATATATATATATATATATATATACATACACTGATACATACAAAGAACGCACACACTCAATTAAGCTGAAAATCGAATCATCTTTGATAATGGCTAAAGGTATAGCCGAAAGCGCTCGGAAATATAAAACATTCGGACAGTTCTTACACACCCTTTGTCCAGAAAAGTCATCATTGACATCAATTATTTATATAAAAAAACAGATAAGAAAGAGTACGAAGAAAGGCAACATCCATGCAGACTGGCTCGCGGACAATATCACACACAAACACAGCGAATACAGAAGAAAATTTACACCCGAGTTAAATGTGTATAAAAAGAAAACCACTCAAATAATATAAGCAGTAAATTGCTGATACCTACTGAAGAGTGGACGAACAGGTCCGTCAAAGAAACGTTGGAGTCGTGATGCTGAAGGTAACATCAATCAACTGACAAATTTTCTTCACACACACACACACACACACACACACACACACACACACACACGTGTGTGTGTGTGTGTGTGTGTGTGTGTATAATACTAGCAATTTAACGCATATCAAGTTTAACATAGCTTATGTTAATAAAGTGCTCAATATTATTGTTCTAGGGCAATACTATTTTCAGTTTTACTTACAAGGCTCACGACCACTAGAAATAGAGGGTTACGTTATTTTTGTGCATAGGAGTGTGAGATAACGGTTAACCCTAGCCTTAGTTCGTAGTGTACGGGGAAACATTCTGTCAGGAGTCGGTTCCACAGGGCAGTGTTTTACGGGAAGAAGTTGGTCGTGTGGTACTTCACACCGAGGGAATGTGGGTGCTTTGCTACTATGTTAGTGGCATAAAGTGTTGGTGCTGTGAAGGTTTGCCTCGGCGGGACCAGGGAATGTTGTTCGTCCGAGCCCTTTCCGTGGACGTAGCGGTAGAGCAACGAGAAACTTGCCGAATCCCACCTGAGAGTTTGAAGTGTGGAGATTAATTAGTCGGGTTAAGGGTTCGGAGAAGCTTTTGCAATCTATCAAGGCTTGAGAGTGATGTTTGGGAAGATCCTGCCCAAATATGACAACAGTACTATTTTTGCCTGCTCTGGCTTCTGTAAAGATAGAGGATAGTAGAAGGAGTAAGGTACTTACTGAAGCGGTACAGGGAGTCGACAATTTTACATTTTAACAATGGATTCTATATACGAGATCCACTTGAGGTCAGCTGTGAGTTTGAGTCCCAACGGGCTTTAAAAGGACGCTGCTTCACCGAGAGAACCTCCGTTCATCTTGATTGGTGGTAGTTCGGGGTTAGATCATGATGATGAAATCTATCTATGATTAATCTATCTCAATTTGTTCTAATCTCTCTCCTACTATTCGTATCTATCTATCTATCTATCTATGAAAGCCTGTTTATCTATCTATCTATCTATCTATCTATCTATCTATCTATCTATCTATCTATCTATCTATGAAAGCATATCTATCTATCTATCTATCTATCTATCTATCTATCTATCTATCTATCTATCTATCTATCTATCTATCAAAGCCTGTTTATCTATCTATCTATCTATCTATCTATCTATCTATCTAGTTGTGTTCCTATCTATCTATCTATCTATCTATCTATCTATCTATCTATCTATCTATCACTGTTCCTATTTATCTATCTACTTGTGTTTCTGTCTATCTATCTATCTATATATCTATCTATCTATCTATCTAATTGAAGACGAATAAACAGTGTGGTCTCGAAATAACGTCTAGTAAGCACAAAAAGGTCCACGACATTAAGAGGTATATAAAGATAGAGAGTGAAACAGAGAATGAAATAGAGAGAAGGGGAGAGAGTTTGAATATCGGCGACAAATCGTTTTTCTGTTGCATAAAAAGTAAGTAGTTGGCATAAAGTAATAACATTTTTAACCTAAGCGCATCTTCTTAGACTTATAGCAAATATTTCAAATCATTGGAAGCAAGATATTTCATCTCCCTTGCAATATCTGGGAAACGAAAAAAATAAACATTTTATTTTTTAGGAGAAAAAATAAATTTACGAAGTGTATTTTTGTGCAAGAAGAATAAAAACTGATTTTTCAAATGAAAGTTAAGCCTAAAAGTAAAACAATGCTAGAAAGAGGGAAACAATGAAGAAATTTTAAATCGAAAGAAATTGCCGATGAAAGAATGTAGAAAGGAAAGAAAGACTGGGAGGAAGTGTAATGAATAAATGAATGAATGAAGGAAGGAAACAACAAAAAAAAAAAGAATAAATGAAAGAATAAAAAGAAGATAGGACGGAGAGACAGATGTGAAAAATAAAGAAAACATGAGAGGGTAGATTTTGTTAGAATAAAAAAGTAAGAAAATAACTAGAGAAGGAAAGAAAGAAAGAAAAGAAAGAAATAACGAAAAGAAAAGAAAGAAATAACGAAAGAAAGAAAAATGAAATAAAAGAAAAAGTAAGGAAAGAAAGAAAGCAAGAAAATAAATAAATAACGGAATAAAAAAAAAGAAATGAAAGAAATAACGAAAGAAACAATAAAAAACAAAGAAATAATGTAAAAAAGAAAGAAAAGAAAGAAAGAAAAAACTATGTCGAGAGGAAAGCAAGACAGTTTCAAGTGAAGAGTGAAACATTATATTTATGAAGGAAAAAATGTTAGAAACAAAGGAGAGTATGAAATAATTACCGAGAGAAAGGATGAGAAAATAGAATTCTTGAGAGAGGAGAAAAATAATCAATGAATGAATTACGGACTAAACGAAATGTGGACGGTAGAAATAAAACAATGAATCGACGATAGGATGAAAGAACGTAAAAGAAAAGAATGACGAAAGGAAAATGAACGAAGGAAGGGTACTGTAAAATTTATCAGAAAGAAATGAGGAATGAAGGATAAAAAAAACGAAGAAGGGAGGAAAAATGAAGAATTCGATAAAGAAAGATGGAAGGAATGAATAAGGGAATAAATAACGCAAATGAAGTAAGCTGCTAAATATAAAAATATGCTAAAAAAAAAGGAACGATGAAGAGAGGAATGAAACAATGGAAGAATGAAATGTTATATAGTGTGAGAAATTATGAATGAAAAAACGAAAGATGAAGGGAGTAAAGAAAGAAAAATGATGAAAGAAGAAAATCACGAGGAAAATATGCAAATCAAGAATGAAATGATGTTGGGAGAAGTGAAACAAATTAATGAATGGAAGTACAGAATGAAAAGAGCTATGGAATAAAGGAACATAAAGAGTGAAGGTGAACAGAAAATCTTATGGTGAAGTGGGGAATGGAACAATAAATGAAAGGAAGAGGAGAAGATTGAAAGGAACGAAGAAATAAATAATTAAAAGGATAAATAAAGGGAATAAATGGAGATAGAGTACAGTTATGAAGAATACAATGAATGAAAGAAAGGAAGAAGAAATAAAACAATGATGGAACGAAGGGTGAAATAAGCAAATAATAATTGACAGAGAATGGAACAAGAAAGAAGTAACAGAACGACTTGACAATAAATAGAAAAAAACGAGAAAACAAACAAGGAAAACAAACATGTAAGAAGGAAAGAGGCATCTTTAAAGGAAATCAAGTGATGAATGAATGATATATGGAACTGAAAAACTGGATAAAAATATAAAAAAAATGGAGGTAATTCTGAAAAGGAAAAGAAAGAATGGTGCCAATGATGAAAGTTTAGAACGAAAGAAATATTATATTTAAATTGCTCCATACAAATTATTTCCAAAGATGCATTTCAATTACTTTAAAAATATGGCAACAAAGATGAGGGCAATAGTCCGAATAATGTAAAAAGTGTACATAATACCTGATCTCAGAAGTTGTTATGAAGCCTTACCCATAATAACTTAATGGACTGTTCCATACGTAATAAATACTGCGCCTCAAGAGGAAGAAGAGAGTTCAGTCTGAAGCCTGGAGTGAGGTCCGTCAGAAGTCTGTCAGTTAGTCAGAGCGAGCGTGTCAGTCAGTCGAGTCAGAGGCAGTCCGAAACAGAGTCGCGTTCAGATAATTACTACTAAACCTGATTGTTCGTACTAACATTTTCTACTTCTCTGTATATATTCCTGTTTGTAATATATCTGTGTTATTCCATATACGTGTTCGAGTTCTTCTTTATTGGTTCTACCTTGGAGTATCACCGTGGTACAAGGAACCAGACCATAACAGAAGTATAGACAGATACTTTAACACGTTAAATAAAAATAGTGTAACAAATTGTTAAATCGGCAAGTTAGGATAATAACTATAGATCTGGTTCTGCTTAAATGAGACTTCTATAACGGAAATAATTAAGCTGACATCCATGAAATACATCAAATGTTTTGAACCAAGCTGCTGCCTATAGCAATCAAACGTTTTATCGATTAAGAATGTTGTGATAAAAAAAAATCAAGTAAAAGTATATATAAAGTATGAGCTAGATTAAAATTATCATTATAAAACCAACTATGAAAAAACTTGACCCATGGACATTGCTCTTTTGTTGGCAAGTAAGATTATTCATTTTGTGAGGATTTATTTGTATCTTCATATAATTATCTTATCCATTCTAATAGGCTTTGCACATCCATGTTTTCTATGCAGTCATGAAATATATTCATATGTGAATTGAATAAAAATCTACAAATATTTTATTGTTTGTTCGATTTTATTTTTCTTTGCTCTCACTTTCTACGCAAAAAATACTTTTTAATATGTCACACATTTCTATATTTAGATTACGATTTACCTGTCATACCTTTTCTTATTAATTCTTCATCCTTCTTCAGGGATACTGAACTATTATTGGCTCGACTCGCTTTCCAAAATGTGACCAAATGACGAAGCATCACGTTTACTTTTCCCAGAATTATTCAACCATTCTAAACAGGGATTTTAGTCCACATATATTTTGCTAAGGTCACTCTATCCTTAAGTCTAGAAGACCTCCTCGTTATTACTCGTACAACCAGCTCTCTCCCCGAATTACCAGGGTAAAATGAAGACTCTGGCTTGACCACTTGTGAAAGTTGACATTATCCAGGAATCAATTCTCGATGAACTTCAACGAGTGGAAGTTTCCAATGAGAATTTGGTAAACTGTTTCTTAATTTGGTTCAAAATCAGAATATACATTTGTTCCTTCGTTGGCTCATCTACTAGCAATAAAAATGGCAAGTATTCTGTTTCTATTGAACATCTGTCTTTGGTAATGACCAATTTACATTGTACTTGTTTGTAGTAAATGGGTCATCAATTGTCGTTTTACAAAAGGGAATAGGACATTTGCTTGATGGAAATTATTTAGATTTCTATTAGAAGATAGCTGGAATAAACAGATTTTCATTTGATCTAAAGACATCCTATCATCAAATTCAAATAGATGCATACTTCAAATAAATAGCGGTAATCAAAGTGCATATGGGTTATAGATATGCACTCGAATGCCAAATATTACATTATTGCCAATATAAAGATGGGATTTAAAACTAATTTTATTGTTATATATTATAAAGCAAACTCTTTTGCTCATATTAATGCTTTTTCAAGGTTATGTTTTCAAAACAAACCGAAAGAAAACACGACAGAAAACACTGAATATATGTTTTATACTGTATAGAAAATGACGCCTTCTGTATTAAGTTATTCCATAAACCCTACTCTGATTAGGCAATGAGTAGAATTGACTCGGAAATAAGAAATATAAGGTGGCGGGGGTAATTGTTCCACAGCAGTAAGTTCTTATAAACCAGTTATAAGTTAGCAATTGAAAATAGGGCAGTATCTAATGGAGATATAAATATAAAATTCGAACATATAAGAAAAAAATATTGAAAAAGCTGTAGATGCTTCTGTATACTATAGAATTGCAACAAAAACAAAAAAAAATAATTTGTTGCACTATTGCCAAAATAGTTACCTGAGTATTCGCCTTAAGGCCTCCGTCCATAATATCGAATTTGTACAGAAATAAAACTCTCAACAAAGCAAAATTCATTCATAGCCGAAAGAAATGGATCTTTGGATTCGTATTTACACGGACCAACCTTATCCCGTGTTGCACTATTCCTTATTTAATGGCTTGAAGTTGCTCGGGGTTTTTCGAGAAGGAATTGCACTCTGAGGCAAATATTGCAAGAAATCTTTTCTTAAAACGCATTTCCGAAGATTTTAGTATCAGATAACTGGTTATGGAATCTTGTGTGTGTATAAAACACCGCTTAATATATACAATCGAATTGGCTTGCAGGAAGAATATTGCAAATGGTAAGAATAAATTGAAGACTTCCTCTCCTCCCCACAATAAGATTAAGAGATTTATGCTATGCCTACTGTTAATATATTGCACCGTTCTAGATGCCGATAAATTTGAAAGCCTCTCTATTTTAATCGAAGGATATATTTGTCCGACTTTGCCGCGGTTGTACTCTACGAAAATAATGATTTATAAAAGGGAAAGAAATCGAACTCAGAAAGAACTCAGTTTATAATGCACCAGGGCCATAACAAGGATTATAACAAGGGTCATAACAAGGCAATTGTAATGATAAATAGGAGAGGAAATGAAGAACCATCTTATTATATTATTATTAGTATACAATGCATGTATGAAGAACTCAATATCGAAATATTAATATGGGTGATGACCAACCGGAAGTTTAGTAAAAGAGAATGGTTTATATGAAGGAGGCCTCGATAAAGATATGAAAACCAAAGAGAAATAGTAAATTGAGAGAACAGCCATATAGAGGCAGGATATTTGAAATAATTAGAGTTGTGTCAATAATGTTCGACTAGACATTGGTTTGTTTTACAGCTAATCAATCTTTTGATGGTTTTCTACATTCAGATTTTCGACTGTAAAAATAGTTTGTTTTGAGATGGAATATTGTAATAGATTTTAGGAGATAACCATGGTATTCCAATTAAATATCTTAATATATACCTTTAGGTGTATGACGGGATGTATTCATACCGTTTCCAAACGTATTTATCCATAAGTGAATGTAACAATCCCGATTAGAATTCGAACTCGACTCTCATTCAGAACCGTTATCCATTACAAGATCAGCACATGCACACTATTAGACAAAATTTGAAAATTGTCCATATCAATTTGGGTAACTATTTGTATACTGACCAATAAAATACACGGTTTCACTAATAGTTGCTAATGGTCAGTCCACCGACACGGATGATATCAATGCAGGCGTCTACCAGGGCTTCTTCCTCGGTCCTACTCATTCTCTGCCCTGTGTTAACAATCTGTCTAACAACATTTTCAGATCACTTAGAAATATATATGCGGACGATATCACGGTTTATGGGAGTATGACCAAAAATCTAGATGGTCAGGAACAGATCTCTCCTCTAGCCTTGCATGCATAGCTCAATGCGGGCGAACTGGCTTGTATCATACAATAGTTCCAAAACCAACCTAGTTACGTTTCAACATCACCGAGCAGACCGTGAGTTTTCTCTAGGGATGATGAACGTTTATACTCACGCTGAAGAACCTTGCCTCTAACGTCTATTGGGGCTCAAGTTCACATCAGATCTGAAGGGAAACTCGTTTATAAGACCTTCTGCTAGAGACATTGGCAAAATGGAGATCCGGCCAATAATGGAGTATTGCTGCCATATTTCAATTGGAGAGGCCCAGCTCTCTGTTTCTAACTTTGGCCGAGTTTCAATATGTTTGCACAGTCTTGTGAGCTGTGAAATATTTTTCCACTCTTCAAACCCTTCTAAAAAAATCCCTGCTCTACCGCTGTTATTATAGTAGATGTTCGAGTGAAATATTCATTCCCTGGGCCACCAGTTTAGACATTTTAAACGAGGACACGCCAGGCCACGTACGAGTTGAATTATACTCAGTCTCTTCATGTTCATACTATTCGAATCATACTTAGTCTCTTTATATTATATTGGTTCCTCTCAGACAACTTATTCCCAGAACTGTTGCAATATGGAACTGACACCCGAGGTGATGCATATAATATGCAATCATTGCTCCCTCACTGTATGCATTTCAGCCTCAGCATCCAGCCAACCTCTATCTTATATGAGAGAAAAATTGTAAGAAAAAAAAATAATGTAACTGAAATCTCTGAGAAGATTGCTTTTACCCGCAATTGTGGTATTCCCTATGCGAATGATTGAATTTATATTATCATCATAAAAAAAGGGATTTTATACCTGATTCTTAGATATATTCATATTGTTTATTTAGCTTGTCATACGTTCGGTTTTCTCACCCGTCATTTTTTTTTATAATGTCTATTTTCTTGATAATGCATTGGACATTTGGAATTGGCACTTGAAATTGCTTCGATATGGCAGTGTTGTATTTTCCCAATCTTTGTGTGCAGTAAAACCCTTTAACTTATTGGCCTCAATAAGTTTTCATCTTAATCTTAAGCATGCTGATTAATTTTTTTATAATTATAAAGGACGAAAATTGCAACTCTTGAAGTGCTCGATATAGATCTACATACTAATATTCTTTACATTAATTTAAAAAGAGATTAAAAGGTCTTTAATGTAACAATGATAACTCCGGTCATTGTCGT